GAATGTATACACACAAGTGTATTTTGAATACTGAATTACTGTAAGCATATGATACTCAAATATTTCCACATTTAAAAAAGCTCAAGCACTTACTATGTCTTATTTGAAATAAGACTGAACCATTAGATTGCAAAATGGATCACCCATATGTTCTATCCAGTACTCTAGCCTTAGTCTGAATATGGTATCACAGGTTTGTAAACACAGCCAGCCAGAGGCTGAAATAATTAATAAGTAAGTAAGTAAGATCATTAATGAGTTCAAGTTCATCCTGGGCTATCAGTAAGTACTGGACCAGCCTGAACTACATAACAAAATGGTGTCACATTCCCCTGAAAGAAAATACAGCAAAACTATCATTTACCAAGTTGCATACATACATTGTCATTCATAATCAATAACTGCAAAACTCACACCCAAATTATAGCCATTGAGCTGTGTGTGGGGTGGTGGTGGTCTAAACCACTTTGCAGCCAACCAGGGCCACAGGTTTAAGATGCAGACTCAGGAATTTGATTTAGCTCAGGGACCTGCTGCCCATCAGACAGGACAGGTTTACTCAGTGACCTCCTAGGTCTCTTTCTTGTCTGCAACTCTGGCAGAGGGACAGAAGACAGTGTAGTGTGACACTGTCAGAAGCAGGCTTTCCACAAACAGGCTCAGGGTTCAAGTGTGTCCTGTATGTCCTGCCATGCCTTTTTTTTTTGTTTGTTTGTATTTTGTCTGTCACACTGCCCCCCACCGGCATGAGCAGTCAAAGCCATTCTCAGTGAATCCTAGGCATTCCCCTAGAATTGAATTGGTTCCTGAGTCCCACTGAGAGGAGAGAAAAGAAGAACTCCAGAGTTGGAAGAGATGAGAAGAACACAGCAACCCCCTGAGGGGCTGAGACAGAAGACTCAGAAGTTTGGGCTTCAGGATGTGACAAGGATGCCCCTGCTACACACAAACCAGCCCTTGGGTGAGAAAGACTAGGAGGAGAGAGAGCAATGCAGGAAGCCTGTGTTGAGGTTTGGATTAGCTAATTCATGAGTTCACGTTTATTTTTCTTGTATGGTCAGTAAAAGTATAAATGTTAGAGTTTATAACTACCACACCCTTTATGACAGTGGTTCTCCACCTTCCTAATAATGTTGCAACCCTTTAATACAGTTCCAATCATGTTGTGGTGACCCCCAACCCTAAAATTATCTCATTGCTACTTTATAACTGTAATTTTACTGCTGTTATAAATTATAATGTGAATGTCTGATATATGAGTGCTGTGGGTTGTTCTCTGTGCTGTAAGTGTGTTGCTCTGATTGGTTAATAAATAAAGTGCTCTTTGACACTGCTGGCTGCACCAAGCAGACCCCCAACCAGGGACACCCCAGCTGCTTCTGGGGTCCATAGAGAGGCCATGCCAGGCTCATCAAGAGAGGAGTGAGGACATCCCTAACACTGATCAGCTGCCCTGACCACTGCAGCAAGGGTCACAGCGCAAGCACATCAATCTCCCAGTTGAAAACGTTTCAGCTTGAGAGCAGCTACAGGGAAAACGGTAACTGACCTCTACTTGCCTGCACAGCTACGAAGTTCCCAGGCTCTGGTATGATCCCTCCAAGGAAGCAATGGTGAAGCACAGCTCTGCTGCTGGACAGGGCTGGTAAGAGCACACAACCCCTGCACAGAGCCGGCCCTGAGCCCTTGTGCTCTGGCTGCCACGGACCTGCCTCCTGACTGCTGAGCACTAAGTGAAGGACTCAGCGAGGGGTCGGTCACAGCCATTGAAGATCAGTCACGGGAAGTAGATGGGCTTTTAGTTTGTTATCTGCAGCTTTGGCTGGACTCTACTCTCAAACAGGAGATTCACGGGGATGCTTTAATAAATATGCTGATGGATCAGTGTGAACTGAATTATTTTCCTCTTCCCAGGGCAGGGCAGAGATGAAGACACAACAGTTAGTACCAAGAAATCCAGGATGGAGGTGCAATTAACTCCTGATTTTGCGGCAATCCTGGAGGCTTTTCCTTAACCATAGGACCAACCTCGCCGGGGAAAATAAATAAAGTAAAAATTAAAACAGAAACAAAAACCTTCAGGCATTGGCAGTGGCGGGTCGCCCTCTGATGGTCAGTATTGGTATTGACGCCTGGCCCTCCCGGCCCAGACTTCCTGTCCCTCGAAAAACAATCGGCATTAAACGGCATTAATACTGCACCGGGACTGTTTGGGACCAAAATTATTTTGATTTAATAATATGAGAAAACGAATTGTGTGGATATGAGGAATGAATTCTGTTCTTGGCTCTCATTAGGAGCTCTAAACCGATCCCTTTAGACTCGGGGGCACCTTTCACAGGGTAAAGGAAATATCAATTCGGCTCTAAACTGCCACTGAAAATTTCCTGGGGAAGCCTCCTGCTGTCCCATTCTTCCCTACCGACTGTCAGCTTTGTTGTCTGTCTGAGCCTCAGTTTCTAGCAGGTAGGAAAGGCCGCAGGTGCCTCTTTGCTTCCGTGTCCGAGGTGCACAAACATTCCTTCAGAGAAGTTTGCATCATAGCCAAAGGGTATTCCTACAATGTCAGTCCTGTTTCCAGCCCCAGAATTTTACACAGGGTTTTGGAGTGGGGCCTCGTTAGTAGAAGGCTCGCCTAGCATGCGTAAGGACTGAGCACAATACCCACTACAGAATAACCTCAGTGTGGTGGTATATGTTTGTAATTCTAGCGCTTAGTTGATAAACACAGGAGGAGCAAAAGTTCAAAGCCAGCCTGAACTAGGTGACAAGGTGTCCTCAAAAATAAAATAAACAACAATCGAACACAGTTAAAAGCATACGATGAGCAATATAGTCTACAATGTGAGCATAGACTAGGGATTTATGAAATCTCTCCGGCCTGGTCCTCAGCTATTCTTGCTCCAGGTTTAGGCTTGTCCGCTGAGAGTGTGGTGTAAAGAAGGGAAAGGGGTGGGTTCTCTCATCTCTTGGCTTGTGGAGAATCCCACCCAGGACCACTAAAGAAGCGTTATTCGGCTCCCAAAAGCTAATGGTGTCCTGTGCTGGGTCCTCAGACACCTAGTCCGGATTCTTCACCTAAGCATGAGAAGCATAAGGCCAGGAACACGTGCTACCAGCCCTACTGTGCCACGCTCCCGATGGGGAGGGTGGAACCAGGTTCCTGATACCCCGCCCTAGTCTCAGCACTGGTTGCCACTTGAGGCCATTTATTGTTGAGACAGATCTGTTGTGCTTGGAGAAGCAGTTTCACGGCCTCAGAGCAGAGGCCGAACCTGCAGCCAGCACCCTCCCCAGACAGGCATTCATACAGCCATGGAGAATGCTTTGAGGAGATGCTGGTATCCGAGGGAAGCTCCCTTCCGTGCAGTCCCAAGGGTTATGTTTAGAAAAAATAAGTAAATAAATGTGTATACTGAGAAAAGGCTGGAGAAAGGCCAGAGCCCGGATAGCAAATGTTTGTTGTAACGTGGGACGGAAACTGAGGCAGGAATCCTGAAGTAGGTTCACCTGGTTCATAAGAAAACTAGATTCAAGCCGTAAGCAGAAACACGGAAACAAGGGGTTTTATCTGTTAGTCTAAAGAGAGATTGGCATGTGGGCTCCAACACAGAAGCACATTTCCCTCAAGAAGCCTCTGCATGCCTCGCCTGTGATTTATTCACTGCTCTTAGGCAGCTGGCCCACAGCTAAACAGCACACAGAGATCAGCAAACTGCTCAACGTTCCGAAAGTTCACTCCCTACGCCCTGCAGAGCTTCCAATGTTCAGAAACATGTTCTTCAGAAGTAGCAGCATGGGCTCACAGAGGTGGTTCAGCTTGTAAAACCACTCGTCCTGCAAGTCTGGCCGCCTGAGTTCCACCCCCAGAACCCACAGAGGAAGAAGAAAACTCATTCCCAAAAGCGATCCTCTTACCTCCAGATGAGCACATGGCATGAGAAGGTGTGCATGTGCGTATACACACACACACACACACACACACACACACACACACACACACACACACAAACACTCCCCCCACAAAGACACACTGTACACACACAAACATACCATACACATAGACACACACATAATACACACAAAAAGACAGCATACACATACATACACATATAACCCCCACACACAAACACACCATAGATACACACACACACACACCATACATACATACACACACATATACAAACACTCCCCACACAAAAATGCATTTTGCACACACAAACACACAGTACACATACACACACAGAAACACACTGTAGACACACACAAACACACCACACACAAACATACCAACACACACACATACAAGACAAATACCCCGCCCAACAAACACACATACACCATATACACGACAATACAAATAAACATTTAAGACAAAAGTAAGAGAATGAACACTCTTACAGGCACATCAAGAATCCTGTTTATGAATTTCTGATGGAGGGGAGGCAATTTGATTGGCCTTGAGAATTTTTTTTTTTTTTCATTTTCTTAAATCCCAGGAATGGTCATGCTTAAACCTTGTTACACTCCCCATAAAGGTGGCAAGGTCACGGTATTCAACTGAGATAACTAAGAGTAAATGTTGAAAGGCAACAAAATTACGTGAGGAGGCTCTGGAACTGTAGCCGGAGCCCCAGTGGCCTGGGCAAGAAGGAGGCCGCTAGCACTGGCCTTGATATTACAGGTGCCCCAGAGGACATCAGGCCTGTTAATCAGCCACTCCTGACCCCTTGGAAACAGTGTTTGAGTCTGAGCTTGTTTCTGCTCTATGCTATCCCTGAGTACGCAGGAGACACCACCTGTAACAAAGAAAAGACGAAGGAGAGGAATGAACTGAACGCTTGGAACTCCTCCGAGTCCTTTAAAATAAATGGTGAATTAACACTTTTTCAATAAAATCCTTTCATCAAACCTTCGCCTTGGGACTAGATTCATTTCAACAAGTGTTTATTGAGCATGCACCATCAGATGCACAGCTTCAAAGCCTTTGGGGTGTTTCCGGGTCTCCACCTTCCAGGAGCTTGCTCCCCCAGATCCTAGCTCTTGCATGCTGTTAGCTATCTCCGTTGTTAAGGGAAATGGGGATGCAGCATCTGTTCCAGGGGTCAGAGCAGATGTCCCCCTTTTTCTCACCAAAACGGCACCTGAAAAGTCTGCAGTGGCCTTTCTGCATGAGGCAGATAGTATTTCTGATTCCAGGTGGTATGTCCCCTGTGGATCCAATGACAGAGAGTTAGATAGCAACTCCAGTCCACAGCCCAGTGCTAAGAGTTCACTCTATTCTTACAAAACAAAGTCCTAATTTCAGTGACTTTTGACTCCCTAGCTTGTAAGAACAATAATTTTTATCTCGTGGTGTTCTCAGGATGGCATGACAGGCTGTATGGGAAATCACTTGGCCCATTACAGTTCCTGAGAAACTTCTGTTACATTCGCGTTCTTCAGCAGCCTGGAGGCAGAGGTACATTGGCAGGGATGGCATTTTAGAAAACAGAACAGAGTAACAGGAAGCAGACTCAGGCTTCCTGAGTCTTCAGAAAAAATGAGAAATACGTCTGCCTTTCAGCTTATGGCTGGACTGTCACTTGTATCACTGCAATATAAAGAAATGAAATAAAAATATGACTTGTGTGTGGCCTTCTAGGTAAAAGATAACCAACTAGAGTCCCTGTAAAGAATGCATTGTGGGAAAGAGATGATTTTTAAAAAGAGTCCTTTTTAAGAACACTACACATTAGGAGTTTAAAAGCAACAGTAACGCAACATAGGTCTTATGTGTTTTTAGAAAAATAGTCCCCTGCAATAGCCAAAGTTCAATGAGAATGACATTGTGCCCATCAAGTCTACCCCAGTTTGGAAAGGACATGGAGATGTGGGTGTAGTCCACCTTGACTAACAACACAAAGCCACCAATCGAAAGGCTTTGGGATCTGGACTCCGGTTTTTCTTCAAGTAACTCATTTTCTCTCATTTGAAAATTCATTTAAGTGGATACATCTATTTTCTCATGGATAGAGTAGGTTATATACAAAAGCTAGGGGAATGACATAGATGAGAATACCTTCCCTGTTCACTGCGTGGCAGTAATCTAACATATTCTCTGGATCCCTGTCCATAGGCCCTGGACTACCTTAGAAAATCCCTAGTTCCCTTCCAGCATACATGACTGTACTTCTGTCCTGAACAGACTATCTCAGATTACAATTAGACATTTCTATTTTCTTGGAGAAAATAGGCTTTTATGTTTTGTGCTATAAACCTTACAATTCTCAAAGCAAGCAGAAAACAAAAATAAAACCTCCAAACCTCTTCATTATGAAAGTGGTCCAGCCCTGAGCCCCAGGGTGGTCCACCATCTGAGTCTACTGTCCATACTCAGACACACCTCCGTGCTATCCACAAGCATAAATGGGAGTCCTGCCTTCTTCAGGGCTACCCAGAAGACATTTACCTGAGTTTTCTTGGACCACCCAGAAGAAAACAGCAAAGAGTAACAAGATCTTCATATTTTATGGCTCCCTTGGTCCACTCTGCTCTTCCGAGAAGGAAAGCAGGAAAGGAGGTATGACTAATGATTGAGCAAAGCCAGGTGGTGAAGGAGAAAAATGGGACCTTTATAGTCTTGGAGAATGATCCTTGGGAATGAGTTAATTTATCTGGTCTACTGAGTTACACTGTGGGCAGAAGATACTGGGTAACCTTTCTTTTTTTGCCTAAAAATAGACATTGTGACATTCCCTAGAGGCAGAGATTAACCAGTTTAGCATGGGAAACTTGAAGAAGAAAGATAGTCATTATTGAGGACTTGGAATTGCTTCGCACCAAGCACTGTGATAGGATGGTAGATGACAGTGACTTAATTGTGTAAAGATGTGTCCTGGGCCTTCAGAGGATTCAATTGAGGGCAGGATGCACCTCGGTTGAGAACATCACCAAGTGTCTGACCAGAGCCACTCCCAGATATCTGCTCAACAGAAACAAGGCTCTATGTGTACCCAAAAGGGTATAAAAGAACATTCAGTGTAGTGTGACTCATCACAATCCATAGAAGAAATTTAAGTGGCAGATTACAATGTGGTGAAACAATTAGTCATTTCCCACCCAGAAATGAACATAGAAGAACACGATGACAACAGCAACAATATAGGGATGCAAACTTTAAAAAGCCAAATACAACACAGCAAATTCACCAATTTGCAAAATCAAACTATCAGAAGCTAGAATATTGTCCACATTGGAAGAGAAAGGCATATTTCATATATGTCAAGGTTCTCCCCACTTAAAGTGGTCTGGTGGAGAGGTCAGGGGGCCCTCTGGAATGATGTAGAGCTATACTGACCTATAACTGGAGGGAGATTTATAGGGCCTTGTGGGCACAGAATAGAGACCCCAGCTGGAATTTGGAGACAGAAAACAATCTTTAAAGAGTGTGTCCCTAAAGTAGAATCCAGGGAAGACTCTTCATGAAGGTCTATTGAGCAGATGACCTTGAAACACAGTCAATGCAGCTACTCCTCTTGTCCCTATTTTAATCTCTGGTCAATTGGATTTACTTCTCTTAAAATTCTAATTAAAAACTGAAAAGCCTTTGTGCTTGAATGCACAACAGCTGTGGTTACCCCTACAAGACTGGCCTGGCCATGGAGTAGGGGAGGGACTCAAACCCTAGCCCCTATCTGAGGATTTATATGCAATTAATGGTTGCTGGGAGAGGGGGGAGACATTGATCCAGCACGTGTAGACACAGCTAAGGTCTCCCTGCTCCTATAAAGACCCCTTCATCGATGACCCTGTAAGCAACCCTGATAGAATTCACTAGGTCAATTACAAAGGCAAAAGACTTGGCAGTGGACAGATAGGAAGTAGACTAAGTTGTGTGGAAGTGAGGAGGGAAAGCAGGAGAGCAATGGGTGTGAACATGATCAAAATGTGGAGTATACACACATAATGCCATAATGAAACTCAATCCATGTAATTAATGTGTATCAATTTCAAACCAAAGAGTTAAAAAAAAAAAGCAAGTTATTTCTCCTCAGTGCTTCCATGGCAATTCTAATAGTTTCTCATTAACCCTTCCAGGTGCAGTTCATGAGTGTGTGTGTGTGTGTGTGTGTGTGTGTGTGTGTGTGTGTGTGTGTGTGTATGTGCGTCTATACCTCCTTGCTATAAAGCAGCAGACTTCACACATTATTCTGGATTTGACTTCGCTTGTTTGGCAGGGATGAGAGTTGTTTGGGAACCCGGAAGGCCTTCTTGTTTTTGTAACAGTTTCACAATGTTCTTGTCAGCTGACCTCCACCTCACTTAACCAGTCTACAACAGACATATTTGACCTCCAGCCTGAGCAAAAACGGGTTTAGGAAAAGAAGAGTCAAACACAATGCCCAGACCAACTGTGTGACTGAACAGCGAGTTCCCTCTAAAGAGAGGATGGCCAAGTGTCCGTCTGACATTTCCAGCTCTATAGCAATGATCAAAGTCTGTGGACCCTGGCAACTAGTCTCTGAGTCACAGGTCTTTCTGTCCTTTGTAAAAGTACAGGGAGTCATTGAGTAGGATCAAAACAAATTGTGTGAAATTTTTCAAATAATTAGTAAAAACCAAAAATGTGAAAAATAAAGTAAGTATCGATGAAAATAAAAATTCAGGGTAAATGGTACCCTGAAATTGCTTCTGTGTCAGCAATCAATTAATCATAAAAATAAATTAAAATAAAATAATTACCTTAAATAACATGAATTAATGATTTAAAACATATATGAAACATGTGCATCTGTGAAGATAAAACTCAGTAAATAATCAATGTTAAAACCTGAAGCTCTTTCTCTTGGAACTTCGGTCTGAGACTATCTCTGAAATACCTCCTTCTGTTAAAAGGCACAAGCAGTTACATACTACTTTTACTGGCTGATTTTGTGTGTCAACTTGACATAAACTAGGGTCATCAGAGAGGAAGGGGGCCTCAGTTGGAGAAATGCCTCCATGAGATCCAGCTGGAAGGCATTTTCTCATTAAGTGATCAGTGGGCAAGAGCCCAGCCCATGATGGTAGGTGGTGCCGTCTCTGGGCTGGTGGTCCTGGTTCTATAAAAAAGCAGGCTGAGCAAGCCAGTAATCAGCACCCCTCCCTGGCCTCTGCATCAGTCCTGTTTCCAGGATCCTGCCCTGTTTGAGTTCCTGTCCTGACTTCCTTCAGTGGTAAACAGCAATAGAAACCCTAACAAAGACAGTTCACTTTCAGTTGCCTGTGACTCAGGATGTAGAACTCTTAGCTCCTCCTCAAGGAGTCTGCTTGCATGCCATGTCTGCTTGCGTGCCATGTTGCACCATGATAATGGACTGAACCTCTGAAACTGTAAGTGACCCTAATTAAATGTTTTGCTTTTTAAGAGTTGCCATGATCATGGTGTCTCTTCACAGCAATAGAAACCCTAAGACACTGCTCTTGGAAATATTGATTTCCACCCTATCACACCTTAGGCTCAAGGGTTCCTGCAAATGATTTTAACATCGAATTCCTCACCACACATGAGCAAAATGCAGTTATCAAATACAAGTGTTATTGTCAGATAAAAATACCAGTAAGTTAGGGCTGAGGATGTAACTTAGTTAATAAAGCATTGCCTCCCATTCAGGAAGTCCTGGGTTTCTTCCTCGATGCTGCATTAACCAGGTGCAGTTGGTACAAGCCTGTGATCCCAACACTTTGGAGGTACAGGTCGGAGGATCATCAGGGTCATCCATGGCCACATAAGGAGTTTGAGGGCAGCCTTGGATTCTTGTTAACCTTTCTCAAAAATAAATAAACAAATAAAAAGACTAGGAATATGCATAGAGAGAGATCATTTTTTCAGGAGTCACTTGGTAGATGAAACAATAAATTCATGTTTTACACCTTTATATCAGACCTTATTTGCAAAAGGCCTAGGGTGGAGCCTCTTTTCTAATAGCACAACCACTAATAAGATGATTATGAAATTATAGTTTAGAAATCTTCAGTACAGTTTGAAAACTTCATTAGTTGGGTTGAAAATCAGTTTGTTGGGTGGAGAAATAAATGAATAGCATCAATACTTATCCTACTTCCTTCTCTTCCAGTGTTGAATCTGTTTCCAGGTAGGAGATTGAGAAAGCGACTCAAAAGTAAGAATTACTAAGTAGTTCTGGAGAGTGAGGCATGCCATTCTAAAGGGGAGAAATGAGAAAGCCTACCTCACTGGTTTCATAGTATCCTTCCAGAGATGCAGGTTCATATATATAATAGCAAGGTTGAATGGAGCCAAATTCAGTTTGTTCCAACACACACATGTCAGTCTGATGTGCACTGTCATCATCATAGAAAAGGACCAAGGAAGAAGAAAAGAGATAATACATTCAGGCCTATAAACATTGGAAGTAGCATTTGTCTAGACATTAAAGAAAGTTTTAACATAATTCAGCAATAAAAACGAAGTAAGCCAATTTTTAAAATGGCAAAATCTCTTGAACAGATATGTCCCCAAAGAATAAGTAGAAATGGCCAATAAGCAAATGTAAAAATTTCAAGGTAATTGCTCACTAGCAAAACTTGAATTAAGATCACGGTGAGGAGCTGGGTGGAGGTGGCACACGCTTTTAATCCCAGCACTTGGGAGACAGAGCCAGGCAGATCTCCGTGAGTTTGAGGCCAGCCTGGTCTACAGAGCAAGATCCAGGACAGGCACCAAAGTTACACAGAGAAACCATATCTTGAAAAACCAAACAACAACAAAAAAAAACCCACAGTGAGGTATTATTTTATACTCACCAGGAGGCCATAATCACTTTACAATCTTTTTAATGCATTTATTGTTTTTACAAATGTCTACATATATACTGTGTTTTATTTTTTTATTTGGATTGTGATTACATTACCCCTTCTTATTCCCCACCCTCTGAATCCTTTCTTTTCATCTAGTCCTCCTCTACTGTCAAGACTTTTTTCATAATACTTTTTTCTAGAAAGTGAGGATTTGAAAATAGTAACTACTTAGGATAAAGAAAATAGTAACTACTTAGGATAAAGAAATGGTCTTACTTAATAAGACCATTCAGAGTATAGCTACAAAATAATGAGACAGTGGACAGACTGCATGATGAGACTCCCCCCCCACACACACACTACCTAATGTTTAACAATCTGAATTCAAACATCTATCACTTCAGCATTTAGAAGGAGTTACCACACATTAAACAACAAAACAATGACCTGGGCATGCATTTTATTTTAGGGGATTCTGTATCTGTGTGGTGAGAAGAGTAAGAATTACCTGAAGGTATTATATTATTCCTAATACTGTGTTTACAGTGCTATGTGCTTAATAAGTGATTGACATCTTTTGGGAATGGATTTGTCAACTGGAGTCCCATACCCACCCTGTGAAATAATATACTCTATAAAGATGGGGATGCTGGAGCCGTCACAGTGTGAAAACTCGGCAGAAATCTGTGGCATAGGTCACTGGGTATCTCTGCCAAATTTTGATTATGTTTTGCTGGAAGAATCCTGTGATTCTGCTGTTGCTGCCTCCCAAATGCACAATAGAGATTTTCCTTTCAATTTACTTTAAATGCCTTCACTATCTGAATAACT